CAAGCTGGCAAGTGCAGTGCTGCCAGGTTTGGGTGCAGCAGAATGCTGTGGTTCTGGGACAGCAGATCCGGCCGAAGAGGCAGTGGCTGCCGAAAGGCTCAGCAACGTGCTGAACCAGTGCTGACAAGGCCATGCCAGGATAACAGCCACTCTATGCTGTTTGACCTTCATGAAGACCCTGTGAATTAATGGCACTGGCCCAACAATGGAATGAGGAAGGCATCTGACAGGGAACCTCTGTCCAGACGCCGAATCGAACAGAACACATGCCACTTTCTGTTCTGTCTGGACACGAACAGGTCCACCCGAGGAGTTCCCCCATCTCTGGAGGATTATGTTGACCACCTCTGGATGGAACGACCATTCGTGGCGAGACGAGAAGGTCCTGCTGAGGTGATCTGCCAAGACGTTCCTGGTGCCTGGCAGGTGGGTGGAAACTAGATGAATGGCATGCTGCACACAAAATTCCCAAAGGCTGAGCGCCTCTTGACAAAGGGCTGAGGACCTGGCACTGCCTTGCCTGTTGATGTAATACATTGTGGCGGTATTGTCCTTCAGGACCTGTACCACCTTGCCTTTCAGGCGGGGCAAGAAAGCCTGGCAAGCCAGGTGAACCACCCTGACGTTGATATGGAGGGCGAGATCATCCCGCAGCCAGTGGCCCTGGGTGCTCAGCTTGCCCGCGTGGGCCTCTGAGCCCAGATCCAAAGCGTTCAAGTCTGGGGTCAGAGATGGGGTTGGGAAGGGAATTCCCTCCAATGCGGGGAAGACAGGACATGGTTCGGCACCCTGACCACCCAGTCTAACCTGTGTCTGTTGGGGATATAGACCAAGGCCAGCCACACTTGCAGAGGTCGTAGATGGAGCCAAGCATGGGTGACCACATACATGCACACAGCCATGTGGCCCATTAGATGTAGGCAGGTGAGGGACATAGTGAGCAGGTGGTTCTTTAAGTGGGAGATGAAATCCAACATGGCCTGAAAACGTGCTTCTGGAAGAAAGGCCCTGGCTCGTGTGGAGTCAAGGATCACCCTGATAAATTCTATGTGCTGCACTGATGTTAATGTGGACTTTTTTGTTTATTAACAGGCCCAGATCGTGGCATGTGGAACTCGCCAGATTGAGGCTCCTATGCACCTGCACCCGAGACCTGCCCTTGATGAGCCAGTAATCGAGATATGGGAAAATCTGGACCCCTCAATGTGTCAGGTAAGCCACCACTGGCGCCATGCATTTTGTTAACATCCTTGGGGCCAAACATAGGCCAAAGGGCAGTGCCATGAACTGAAAATGACGCCCGCCCAGTCTGAAGAAGAGGAAACGCCAGTGACCCGGGAATATGGAAATGTGGACATAAGCATCCCGTAAATCGAGAGCGGTGTACCAGTCTCCCAGATCAAGGGAGGGGATGATGGAGGCCAGGAAAACCATGCAAAACTTCTTGAGAGACTTGTTGAGGCAACGGGAAGTACTGGACTGGAACTCTTCCCTTTCATGTCCCGAGGGACCTCCTCTACCACCTCCAGGCTCAGAAGGATCTCAACCTCCTGAACGAGGAGTTGCTCGTGATAAGGATCCCTGAAGAGGGACGTGGAGGGACGGGTGGCCAAAAATTGCAGGCTATAGTATTGATATACTATGTCCAGTACCCAGCGGTCCGAGGTGACCAGCGATCAGGCCGAACAGTAGGGGTGAAGGTGGTTGAGGAAAAGGAATGGTGGATCTGGGGAATTGGCTGGGGCATTGCTGTCAAGTGCGCCATAAAAATGAGTGCTTCTGGTCTCCAGACTGTTTCGCCAGCCAGGCTGCGCAGGTGAGCGGGAGGTAGAAGGGCGAAGATGACTAAACTGAGTGTCTTTGTCCCTTCTTCTAGCAGACTCCGGATGAAGTTGCCACAGCCTTGGTGGCAGAAGTAGCCGGAACTGCTTATGTGCTGACTGGCGTGTGCATTCCCAGCGAATGAAGGGTTGCTCTGGTGTCTTTCAGCCCATCGTGTCTTTCAGCCCATGCAGACCGTTCCCATCGAATGGGAGGTCTTGGATGACAGTCTGCATCTCCTGGGAGAGTTTGGTGGTTTGAAGCCAGGAGCTGCGCCTCATTACCACCGCAAACGCTACCACTCTGGCTGCCGAGTCCGCTGCATCCCAAACCATTTGCAGGGAGCACTGGGCAGCCGTAGGGCCTTCCTGCACCAGAGTATCAAACTGTAGGGCCAAATCCTGCAGGAGGGACACCTTAATCTTACGTCAGGAGTCCCATAAATTAAAGTTGTAATGGTCCAAGAATACCTGATAGTTCGCCACCCAAAACTGCAAACTGGCGGTGGAATAAATTATCCTCCCAAACAAATCCAGTCATTTGGCCTCTATTTTTTGGGGTCGAGCTGGATTGTGCCTGCTTTTCTTTCTCACTGGCCGACAAGATCACCAGTGACCCAGGGGGAGGTGGGTATACAAATATTCAAAACTTTTGGCTGGGACAAAGTATTTCTTTTCAGCCTGTTTTGATGTGGGAGGGATGGAGGAAGGGGTCTGCCAGATGGATGTGGCAATTTTGAAGACCCTGTCATGCATCGGTAGTGCAACACAGACCGAGGCAGAGGCCGAAAGGACATTGAATAGGATGTCCGTTGCTCAGCCATCTCCTCCACTTCCAGGCCCAAGTTCTCGGCCACCTGATGAAGCACAGCCTGATGGTCCTTAAGGTCATCCGCCAGACTGGCCCTGGAGGGGCCTGCAACTGCCTCATCTGGGGACGAAGGCTAGGACTGTACCACAGGCAGGGGGCCCTGGTCCTACTCCTCCGCAGGGGAGAGTGGCTTAGGAGTGGTCACAACCTCCTCAGCCTCGGCCTCTGGGCGTGCTTCCCGCACCGAGCCTGGTGCCGGCAGCTGTTGCTCCAAGGTGGCAGCTGATGAGTGAAGCAATGGCTGCATAGCCATGACCGGAACTCCCCGTGCATTCCCAAAAGGCCACTGCATGGGCTACTGATCTGGCTGCCACTGCACTGTTGTCTCAGTTGCCCAGTCGCGCTGTCGGGTTCTAGTCAAGGGGCTAAACCGTCCCTCAGTACTGGAGGAACCACCTTCTGGAGACCATGGAGGGGCTATGGATGCCTGGGTCTGCTTAGAGGCCACAGATAACGGTGGAGACTGGTGCTGATGCTGGGGAAACTGGGGGCGGGACAGAGAACACTCCGGCAGCATAGGCGACCTGGATCGGTGATGAGACGTGACCGATGGGGAGGCGATCGGTACTGGTAGTAAGGGGATCTACGCCTCCCTCTCAGTGATAGATGTCAAGATAACGGGGACCATGACCATGGTGCCGGTGATCTAGGGCGAGCCCCAGATGATCTCGGTGGTGGCTCTGGTGACTGGCGGTGCCGAGGTGGAGAGCGCGTCAGTGTCTAGGGGGATCAGTGGTACTCCACTGATGCCTGAGGAGCCTTATCGGCTGCCTTGCCCTCATGGGGAGCCTTTGCTGAAGCCTGCGGCCTCTGCTGTGTCAGTGGCCTTTGCTCCCTTTACGCCAGGGGAGTATGTGAGGGCGTCGGTGCCGGCAGGGGAGTTGGTCGGATACTGCTCACAGGAGTCGGAGGAGGACCTTTCACGGGGCTAACGTCCCCAACGGGAGAAAGCCAACTGCAGGGTTCTGGGCTATACGGCTGTCCCGAGGTGGGTCTTTTGCCTGCTGCCACATGGCTGTTCTTTCCTGGCGCTGGGGAGCCTTGTTTCTTGGCCTTCTTTTTCAGTACCAGCAACAGGGAACGGTGCTGAACAGAGCTTGGTGCTGGGGGTGCACTTTGCACCAATGCCGAGGTGCTCGGCGAATCATGCCGAGACGGCTTGGAGGAAGGATGGAGGGAGGCTGGACAGAAGGCGGACTCTATCAGAAGAGCCCAGTCACATGTCCAGCTCTTTCGGCGTGCGAGGCTGAAAGTTTTTGCAGATATGGCACTTGTCTTTTACGTGTGCCTCCCCCAAGCACTTGAGACAACTGCTGTGGGGGTCACTAACAGGCTTAGGCCTTTCACAGTCTGTGCAGGGCTTTAACCCTGGAGACTGAGGCATGCCCCAGGGCAGAGTCCCCGCTGGGACTCTAACTACTAACAAGTAAACAAACACTAACTACTGAAGAATCAACTATATACAAAGCCTTAAGGCATGAAGTCCAAAGGAGAAAAAAAAACCCACTAGCCCTTGCTAAGCAAGGAAAGGCGCTCTGACTAATCACCACAGACAGTAAGAAGGAACAGAGAGGGAGTAGGGTCGACGGCACCTGATATACCAGCACTTGGGTGCAGCACTCAAGGAGGCACCACAGTCAGCCCTTCAGATACCGCTAAGGCAAAAATCTCTGACGACCATGCACATGGGGTGCACACACCTAGAATGGAATCAACATGAGCAAGCACCAAAGAATCTTATTTTGTAGGATGAACCTGAAGCTATGGACACTGGAGGTTCCAACCCAGACTATGCGGCCGTGAGAAGGAACTGGAGAGAGAGAGAGAGAGAGAGTTGGTCAGCCTCCCCATATCCCCTGGGTTGGAGGCACGAAATGAGCCAGGGCGCATGTGTGGAGCCAGGGCGCATGTGTGGACCAATATCTTTACATTCAAATCCTCCGACTCTGGGCATATGGTGTGCATGCGTAAACCCACAGTGGAATACAAAAGGAGGTCATTCCTCAAAACAGGATCATATATTGTGAGACTTGTGATAAAATCTTGAGTTAGCAAAAAATTATTCTTAAATTCTACATAGATAGCAGATAGTCCCCTCTCTCCTCCCCCTTTGGTATGGACCCCCCAGAAAAGATGTTTGTTTAAAGATGTTGAAATGCAGGAAGAAAACTGCACCTGATATTTTAGAATTTGAGGTGAAGACCCCCCCCCCAGATACTCCATTCAAATATTTGCCTTCCTACAGCATTTTAAGAACTTCCCAACACATGTACACCTACCTAAAAGCTTGCAAACAACTACAACACATAGCAATTTGAACTTAATTTTATTACAGCTTTATACAGTAAATCACCTGTTACACCACTAAACTTGAAAGGAATCAAGTGGAATATCTATCTATCTATATATATATATCTGTCACCAAATAACTTATGGAAAGAGTGTTTTAGAGCAATGTTCGTTTGCTTACTTCATCATGAGGCACATACTGTAAAACTGCCACAAAACAGTGGTCTCCATAGCTAACTTGCACAGCTAGGATTTTAGATTATGCACATCAAGCACTGAATAATCAGAGCACTTCTTAACGCATTAAACCATTGAACAGTTACACAGTCCCAATGCCAAAATTCTACCTGTATTTTATATACAATAGTTTAAAAGCACTTGGTAAAGTTATATGTATTGTAACCAATTTGCCCTTCCTCACAGTTCACTTCAAAGACAATCTCTTTATTGTAATGTACTCAATACAGAACAATTTACAAAATACGGTATCGTTCTGAGACCTGTGCAATGTAATTGACAGACCAAGGATGGAATATTGGCTCCACTGAAGTTAATGCCACTGACTTCACTCTTTTTTCTCTTAGATAAATAGACTAAGAGCCAACTCAGAATAAGAAGAAATACAAAATGGTATATTAGAAAAGCATTCCCATTAGGCACACATATACAGTAAAATGATCCAAAGAAAACCAGAAGAGAAGGGAGAACACCACAATTAAACCTAGCTGAATTCATTTTTAAAGCTGGAAAATTATTCTTTGGAAAAAACTTGTTTTGGTATTGCTTCCCCAGGGAAGTGCATTTATTATCTTTTTAACGGAACTATTACAATAAGAAATTTTGAATAAACATTTCAGTGTCAATGATTTTTTAAAAGCTGTTGTATAGGCTTTGACCTCCTTGGTATTAAAATAGGCGTAGAGATATGTGAATATTCACAACTGAGCAAAACTTTTATTAGACATTTCATAAGGGGCATTATGATTAATCAGTAGATATGAATTCAAAATATTTATTAGCCTTATTTTGCAAACTGAAAATTCTCTGGTTCTTCTGATCAAAAGCTGGATTAAAAGTTCTATTCAGAACCTGAACATCTTCTAGACTGCTTCTCATCAGCCTCACATTTAAGTTGCAAGATCACAATTTGTTAAAAATACCAATTAAAGTGCATGAACTAGACATACTGCTATGAAAGCCTCATACAAATTGCACACAAGTATGCAGGTGATGTTTTAGCTATTTTAAATGAAGTCCTGTGTTAAAATAAATTAAATGTAGGGTCACAAACTATGGGCCCATCCTGCAAACCCTCATTCAGTCAAGCAGTGACACTGAAATAAATGAGACTCTTTCTCACATGTTAGGCCTACTTAATTGTGTAAATGTCTGCAAGATCACACTTCTAGAAAGGTGCTTAGCAACCTATTCATCCACTGATGTCAACAGAAATTGAAAATGTTAAGCACCTTGCAAGGGCTCAACTTGCTTAAGAATTTTGTGCACTGTCATGCCAAACCATAACAGCTAGTTTAAGATTCATTCGTAAAAAAAAAGTTAATTTCTGTTCACCAAATGAAAGGAAAAAGGTAAAGAAAATTATTTTCATTGTATGTGAAACTCATTGTATGAAGACACACACACACACACACACACACACACACACACACACACACACACACACAAGATCAACATTCCTTGACAGTGTTCTTTTAAGTGGAGAAAATGTATCTCAAACATTTAAATAGAAACATATTACATTGCGTTGTCATTTCCTAAACGAAGTAAGTTTTATACACATGCATCAACAGAAAACCATAACATCTTGACAATGTAGAATATTACAGTTAACTTAAGTCAACATGTTATGATACATATCCACCCCAAAATGAACCTCTGTGGCTAATGGCCCTCAAAAGTTCCATAAGCTCTCTGGGACATGCAGACAAGCTGCCCCTGAGCACAAAGAGCTGCACAAAGGAATAACTTCTAGGGCTGTGTGCAGTCAGGAGGGGTGAGACAGACAGAGCATAGTGTGAGGAGTAAGGAGCTTATTAGCATAAGGGGCCAGATCCTCAACTTGGGTAAATTGTTGTAGCTCAAGTGAAGTCAATGGAGCTATGACAATTTACACCAGCTAAAGATCTGGTCTCTCCTTCCTCATGAGGGCACCCATTAATGTGAAACAATTTGAAATCTAGGAGATTGTGTTGACTACTGAATTGTGTAAAGTATAATATATTTAAAATGTAATGTGATCATTAAAGGGCTGTTTTCATTGAGAGGGATTTAACATACCAGACTTTCTTATGAAGTTTTCAAGAATTGCTGCAATCTCAACCCATATTCCAACACAAGCCTAGCATATGCCTTCTGCTCTAAGCTTGTACAGAGGAAAAGTTTAAACTAGTGAAGTCATCAGTTTAACAATCCTAAACATATGATTCAATCTCTATGCAACATCAAAGCCATAGAGAGTTCTAACTGTTCAAGCGTTTGAATTAAATATTTTTCATTTTCAATTTAATCCTTTAATTTAAATTAAAGGTTTAAATATACAAATTAAATAAAACACAAAGAAATCTAAGCCATTATTCTTTTGCTTAATAAAAACCCACAAACAAACAAACGGCATTTTCCCTCTTCCACCTCAAGAACAAGAACTGGAAAGTACCAAAATCCTCAAATGCTAGTGAACATGAGATGTACTCCTCATTAGCGGGTGTCAGTGTGCCTAAGCACTGGGAATATGCAACATATTGTAGAGTTGAGCTAAATTTTTTGTTTTATTCCATGTGGGATATGTTTGCAGTAGAAATGGAATGATTAAAATCACATGAAAACTCTTTGAAAATATATCCATTAGGATTATATTATAGCAATTTGTGATTTGTTCATTTTTAACAATACAGTTGGATCCCTCAGTATAAATCTTTGGAATGTTTGCCACTAATATAACTACCCCAATAGAATTTAATTACCAGTTTTTTCAGCTATAAATTAATGGATAGGCAGTTTCACTTCATTAAAGATACTTTGATTCCAAACAAACAGAGAAGAAAAATGTACCAGCCTGAGGTGAAAAATACCTGCAACTTATGTAAAAATATGCAGAGCAGCTGAAAATTTGCAGTCAAATTTAAAAGATCAGTTTCATTGATATAATAAATGATCAGCCATATTCTGGCTTTTGAGGAACGCATGCAGTTCTCAGTGCATTCAATGAGAGCTGTGCACATCAATCTGAAGTCAGAATTTGGCGTTTAATAGCTTATCTTGCAATATTCAGAGCTCAAATTTTAGTTAATTTCTAGACAATGCTATGTTTCTCATACACTTAACTCACCAGTGCTTTTTTACTATTTTAAACTTTGAATATATTGAATAGTTAATCATTTAATTAGCCACAAAGCATCTTGCATGATAGATATGTATCTTCACCTCCATTTTTCTAAATAATAATTTAAGATAGATCATTTCAGTCTTGGACATCAAAGTAGTCAATCACTGGCTCCACTTTTAATGTTTTCTGCAAGCCACTGTTTCCATTATTCCTGAAATTAAAACCATAAAATATTACAGAACACAATTCTCAGTTAAATGAAAGATACAGTTACATAAGCAAGGATAACACACTGACTTTCCCAAACTACCAAACTGATATAAAAACACCATAACATCTCATGGCATATTATGCCACTGGACAGCAAGATCAATAAACACCTGGCATTAGAAAGCTGTTAAAGTTTTACAGAAATCACATCTTAATTATTCACTCTAATGTACATTTCAGTGCCCACTGAACAAATAGCTACCTTTTATTAACCGTGCTTTTCATAAATATTAATATTAGCAATTCAGCCATTCTAATATTAAGGTAGAATACCACAAGCAATTTATCTACAACACACTAATATTTAGGTAGTTTATTTTGTAAATGAAAACTTTGTTACAGACGAGCCAATGTTCTGAATATTGTCCTTTTCAAAAATATATGCAAAAAAAGCAAAAGACTATCTCTGAAGTGAGGGATAGTTGCAGGTCAAGTTTCAGCTACAGATAAAAACAAAGGATAAAAATTAATGAAATCATCGACTGTTAGTATAGATAATTATTCAAATATGCTATTTAACTGTCATCAGAAGACAGTCAAGGTGGGTGAGGAAATATCTTTTATTGGACCAAGTTCTGCTGGAGAGAGAGACAAGCTTTTGAGCTTGTCACCAACAGAAGATGGTCCAATAAAAGATATTTCCTCACCCACCTTGTCTTGCTAATATCCTGGGACCAACATGACTACAATACCACTGCATATATCTGAAGACAGTGACATGAGGCCTTTCAAAAACTTCTGTTTCCAATAAAATTTCAATGTTTAAATATTAAATGAATGTTTTATTTACAAATAATTTTAATCCAGAGGCAAAGATTTTCAAACCTGGCCACCTAAAATTAAAAATAAGCAGGCTGGTTTTTCAGGAGGTGCTAATTTCCAATGAATTCCACTGAAGTAAATGGGAGATGCAAGAGCCAAGCACCACTGAAAATCAGGTTACTTTTATATATGCTCCTAAGCATTGATTTAAGAGTCTTGTTTTAGGCATGCCTGCAGGTGGTTTAGACTGGATTTTAATCTTGAATCTGTTAGTTTATACTCTGATGAACTGGATCTTCTCAAGGAATGAACAGCCTATTATTGTTATTCATTTGTATTCTGGTAGTCCCTGAAATCACCAACCAGAATTAGGCCCATATTCTGCTAGATACTGTCAAAATCTAGAACAGAAGACATTCCCTGCATCAGAAGCCTGTGGTTTCCCAATATCCTTTTAAGGGTGCGATCATCTTAAATCCAGATTCAGCAAAACATTTTGAGAGCCAAAATTGAACAAATATAATTTGTGGTTGTGAAGCCCAGAATGTTAAAAGCCTATGCACACTCAAGGCCACAGTGTTTTACAAACACAGGAGCTGATATGTTAGATGAGACCATACAGCCAAGGAGTCTGGTATCTTGCTTTCCCCAGCAGCGGTCAGTACCCAAGGAATGTGAAGTCCCCACTTTTGCCCTCTTTGGCCATTATAGAGGAAACAATACTTAGTGACCCCCACAGACAACCATTATAAGCCATGAACTAATTACCCATATCTTAGTTTGCAAAGAATAGTTAGAAATGGTTATAAAATAATTCAGTCTTAGCTACAGTATGCGTGTCTACCTCTTGCAACAATAAATTACACAGATTGACTATATAGCATAAGGGCAGTATTTATTTTTGCTGGCACTAAATTTATTCCCATTTTATTTCAATGAGTGACCCCCTGTGCTCATTATGAGAAAGGTAGAGAGAAGGATCTGTTCGGTTAAATTTGAATTCTGAATAACTCTTTTCCATGTTAAATAGTCTCTGCAATTTTGTGAGCTGTAACTAGGTAAAGAGCTAAGATTTTTCACTGCTTTGATGCATTGCCCCCCCCCCCCAATTTACTCTATACATTTCTTTTGATGAGGCAACCAAACTTGGACACAAGATTCATATAAATTACATTTTTATATAAGAGATCTTCTCTCCCTTTCTACTGCTCCCATACATTCTATTTGTCTATTTTTTAAAAAACTGCTGCAATGATGTGGGCAGACATGTTTAGTGAGTAAATCCCCTTGATTTCTAGCTTTTTACCCCTCAGAGGCTCTTTGATGTTCAGAATGCATCAAGGTATACAAGATCTTTCAAAAACTGTTTACTGCACGAAGGTAATAAATGATATGCCACAGTGTAAACACAAGAAAAACACTCATGTAATGTTCACTACTGCTCTTGATTAAAAACCAGAGTGGCATAGGTAGTCTCTAATGAATATCCTAGAATTATAATACATTTCATCATAAATTGTCACATTTAGCAATCTGTTTAAGAGATTAAAATAGCATGAGTATGGCAATTCAAAACTGAGATGCCCTGACAAAGTTGTGAGGGCTCTGGCCCATACTGTCACTTTATTAAACATTAACTTCGTAAAAACACTTAAGTAACTAAAAAGTTCTTACTTATCTGTTTGTCTGTAGTGAGGAATAGGTGGTGGAGGCCTTGTCTGCATTTCCCTCTCTAGCACAGATGTTAGGGTATTACTTGGACAAATGGATTTACCTCTAGAGGATGAGAATGGTAACAAATATCATTTGTGATGTTATTGTCTACATGTTTAAATAGAAAAATAATACACTATATTAAAAAAAATCAAGACAAAAATTAAGTGTTAAATGTGGTATAAATGACAGTTTGAGACTTGAAGGTCCAAATGTGTTATCTCGCAGCAAATCCAATATTGAGGTGTTAGAAGAACTTCTGACACACTGTGACTCAAAGCAGCCCAGCATTTCTTCTTTGCCTAAAACAATCTATACCCCCCTTCCCCCATTTAAACTGAACAATGGAGACAGTAAATAGAGGAAATAGACTGTTTTTCTTATTATATGTCTTAATGTAAGAAGATATCCACTAGTCTGGAAGTTTTCGGGGTTGACTAGGATAATAAAAGCCCATAGACAGTTCCCTGCATAACTTTATTGGTGCTTGAACTGCTCCCTTTGCGTGAGCCTATAAAGTGCATCAAAGTCCAAACTTACAACACTTAAACCCTAAAACTACAAACATGTTGTGACGTTGCACTCCAGATGTTTTATGGAAATATGCTTATGAGTATGAATATGATGCAAATGGAATATACTTTAGGCAAAAGGTCTATTGTAAGGTATGCTTACAAAACTTATAATCTACTGAGTGTGGTCATCCTATTTGTATGCATGTATCATTCTTGTATCTGAAGCTAGAAATATAAAGTATAACTCTGAGATCCTATTGTCATTATGCAAAGTGTGGGCCATTGATGGTGGTTTAGAATCTTGATGGCTCCCATTGACTAGGACAATTGGTTGTAAATGGCTCTGTTTACTTGCAAGCCTTCCTATGTTTGTGTGAGCCAGCCCAGGAAGAATGTAGGCTGGGGTCTCACAGGACATGAACATGTCACCGGATACTCGAATCCATCTTAAACCTGGTGCTTTTCTATTTAGAAGGAGGGGTGTAGACTCAGAGAGACAAAAGATTCCCGCCTTGTGACAAAGCTATAAAAGGGGGTGGAACAGAACAAAGGGGCTGCCAATCATGAGAACACCCCTGCTTTCCACCTAAGATGTTCGCTGGAACTAACGAGGACTGTACCAGGGGAAAGGATTGAGCCCAGACTAGGAAGGAGTCTAATCTGTGAAAGAAGCTTATTGGAACATCTCTGAGGGTGAGATTTTACATGTAATCAAGTATCAGGGGGTAGCTGTGTTAGTCTGTATCTACAAAAACAACAAGGAGTCTGGTGGCACCTTAAAGACTAACAGATTTATTTGGGCATAAGCTTTCGTGGGTAAAAACCTCACTTCTTCGGATGCATAGAGTGAAAGTTACAGTACGGGAACAAATCTACATGGACACACCCCCAGAACCCCGACCAGGGGTATTCTATCTGCTACCCAAGATCCATAAACCCGGAAACCCTGGACGCCCCATCATCTCAGGCATTGGCACTCTGACAGCAGGATTATCTGGCTATTTGGACTCTCCCCTCAGACTCTACGCTACCAGCACTCCCAGCTATCTTCGAGACACCACCGACTTCCTGAGGAAACTACAATGCATTGGTGTTCTTCCTGAAAACACCATCCTGGCCACCATGGATGCAGAAGCACTTTACACCAATATTCCACATGAGGATGGATTACAAGCGGTCAGGAACAGTTTCCCTAATGAGGCCACAGCACGCCTGGTGGCTGAGCTTTGTGACTTTGTCCTCACCCACAACCACTTCAGATTTGGGGACAACTTATACCTTCAAGTCAGTGGCACTGCTATGGGTACCCGCATGGCCCCACAGTATGTCAACATTTTTATGGCTGACTTAGAACAATGCTTCCTCAGTTCTCGTTCCCTAGTGCCCCGCCTCTACTTGCGCTACATTGATGACATCTTCATCATATGGACCCACGGAAAGGAGGCCCTTGAAGAATTCCACCTGGACTTCAACAATTTCCACCCCACCATCAACCTCAGCCTGGCCAGTCCACACAAGAGATCCACTTTCGGGACACTACAGTGCAAATAAGTGATGGTCACATAAACACCACCCTATACCGGAAACCTACTGACCGCTATACGTACCTACATGCCTCCAGCTTCCATCCAAGACACATCATACGATCCATTGTCTACAGCCAAGCCCTAAGATACAATCGAATTTGCTCCAACCCCTCAGACAGAGGCAAACACCTACAAGATCTTTATCAAGAATTCGTAAAAACTACAATACCCACCTGGGGAAGTGAGGAAACAGATTGACAGAGCAAGACGGGTACCCAGAAATCACCTACTGCAGGACAGGCCCAACAAAGACAATAACAGAACACCACTGGCCATCACATACAACCCCCAGCTAAAACCTCTCCAGCGCATTATCCACGATCTACAACCTATCCTGGAAAATGATCCTTCACTCCCACAGAGCT